TGGGCGGTATTACGAAAATGCGGCTTCACACAGTGCATCCACAGATGGCGGGATAGAAAACTCACCCAATCTGAACCGGGAACCCATGTCAGCTGTATCGAATAATGTTGCCTCCGAAAACAGCCCTGGGCCCCAGTTTGCTGAAGTTGACACATCAAATACTACACAAAGACAGTATTCAAGTCAACATATGACTGTTCCGAACACTGACACCGCGACAAATGATGGTAATGGACATGATGGTACCCTTCGTCGAAAGCAGAGTCCATCAATTTCAAGTGACACGGGTTTCCCACCTCCGACATACTCTGACAGTAAATCTCATGCTAATAGCCCTGCCGCTCAATTTGCATCTCTTGCTTCTCCCAGTCATCACAATAAACGAAATAGTTCTGACTCAACTATGAGCCGTGGCTTATCATCTCAGGGTGGGACTGCTCCCAGCGGTCCAAATTCCTCTATTCGGACCAGCATCGGTGCTGCACTCGGAGACTGGCGTGCTGGGCACAACTCCTCTCCGCAAGAACAGCAGAAACAAGTGAATGAAACTCCCCATACTCAGGGCAAAAGTCTGTTCCACATATTTAGGAAAAAGAACAACCATGAGAGTCATCATCAATCCTCCGACGAGATGTTTGATTCTCCAACAAGCCCGGGGGTTGGCGTCCGCAATACTCCCCCTTTTGCCACTTCCTGTCAGGTACCATCGACTGTACCAGATTACGACAAACCTCGAGGCCAGTCGTGGGGTATACCACCACCTTCACCCGCCAAGAAATTTGTATTTGGAACAGTTGATGGATGGAACTTCCGCTTGATTGACGTTTCCGATGTTGATGCTGCTGATTCACTCCGGGCACTCATTTGCAATAGTGTCGGTATCAAAGATCCCGGAAGCGCTTTGATTTACCTCACTGAGCCCGGTCAGATCATGCACGAAGAACCCCTTAGTGACACTATGCTTGTTGTCAATCGTCGTGCCAGATCTGACCACTTGGGTAGTTTGAAGTTCTTCATCCAGAGTATTGCCATGCCACCATCAGCGGGTTTAGGGGTCACTTTTGAACGGTCAGTGAACGGTTACAGAGTTCCATTGGATATGACTGAAGATGATAGTGCAACTCGAGTTTCTACAGCACGACGAGTTCCTCCAGCGGAGAGGTCCCAGAATGGCTTATCCAATACAAGTGTCTTTCCAACTCCTAACGGAGGCCAGGCCTCTAACTTAAACTTTTCGTCCGACCAAGAAAAGGAAGTCCTCATACAACGTGCGCACGAACAGCATCTCCGCGATGCCGAACGTAAACAGAAGGCTTACCTTGAATCCAGGAAGGATAGAATACAACGAACAGAAATCACTACTGGAAATACTGCTGTTAGTATCAAAGGCGATCGTGTTATCGATTTCAACGCTCCTCGAACTTCTCCATATGAGGATAAAAGACAAGAGACTCTGATTCCGTTGCGCAAGCCACCACTAGCCCCATCGGAGTCGAATACCCTCACTAAAGTCAACTCCCTTAGCAAGAAACCTGAGGATCTCCGAACGAGGAATTCAAAGGAGTTCCAGCCAGATTTCCACAGGCAAGCTTCCTCAGATACCAAATCTAATTCTCCAGGGATTGGCTTTGGTCTAGGGGCTGCTTTAGCGAGTGTTGGAAAGATGTCAGGAGTAATTGGAACACCCATGGGATCATCTACTGTTCCCAACCATCCTGCTGACAGTGCAGTGAGGACAGAATCTCGCCTCTCTGAGTCTGGTGCCATATCACCAGGTACGGCTGCATTTTCCGAGAAAAATGTGCCGGTTCGCAGTGAAAATATCGAAAGAGATAATGATAACGCTGTTCGAAATCCTGTCAGCGAATGGACTAGCCAACCAAATGAGCGTCCTGCTGCATCATCAGATTCTACGCTGCCATCGAAACCAACACTACAAACACGAAAGTCTTATGGTCCTGATTTCGATTTCCAGGAATCTACCGTTCCGTTTGCCAAATCTCCCTTACCACAAGAGGATTCAGATGAAGATTCTGATTCTGGCCTTTTCGCCAAACCTATAGCACGACCGGCCCCTCCCCAGGCTAAGAGGAAACCGGTTGCAAGCAGCTCTAAAATCGAGGAACTGAAACCGACTCTGAAGGTTAATACAGAGCCTAGGTCTGTCAAGGGCCGTTCTGTGGCATTCAAATCACCAACCACGGCAGGAGTCTCTGGGGGGAATTTCCCAGGAAGTTCCATGTTCGATGGAACTGAAAATCAGAATTCCGCTGATGCTGACACAAGCAACCCATCTACGGATGATCGCGATTACGACAGACGACGTGAATCATTCGTCAGGGATGATATTTGGGCAAGCAGACCCCCCGTGGAAGGGATGATTGATCATCTAGACGACTTTTTCCCGGGTGTTGACCTAGATGAACCTTACCTGGATGGGAATGCCCAGTCTCCACCCTTATCACCTTCTGGGCCATCCTCTCGGGATGAAGCAGAATCGGAAGCAACAGATATCAGTGCCGCTACAACACAAACTACTGGTACGACGACGGGATATACAACCATGACGGACCTTCCAGATGTGCTAGGGTCAGCAGAATCAACACTTAAAGCAAAGAGAATACCAAGTACCGTGGCGCACCGGAACTTGTCACGCTCAGGAGGATTGAACAGAATGAAATCCATTCGTGAAGTAGCAAAGGGAGCCCATCAAGTGAACCGACACCAGAGTATACAAAACAAGGGTGCAGCTGCATCTGGGATCCTTCGAAGGAAGAGTACCAAAATGTTTGGTGCTAAAATAATGCAAATTAGCCCAAAGCCAGGGACACGATTAAGTGATTTGGACCCAATACCACAACAACCCTCTGCAATGATACAACAAGGGAAGCTTCCACAGCGTCAACCTACTTTCCGTATCATCAGGGGTCAACTGATCGGAAAAGGAACATATGGAAGAGTTTACCTGGGTATCAACGCCAATACTGGTGAAATTTTAGCTGTGAAACAGGTTGAGGTGAACCAAAAAGCTGCCAATTATGACAAAGACCGCGTTAAAGAACTGGTTGCTGCCATGGACCAAGAAATTGACACCATGCAGCATTTAGAACACCCTAATATCGTTCAATACCTCGGATGCGAGCGAGGGGACCTTTCGATATCGATTTATCTTGAATATATTCCCGGAGGTAGTATTGGAAGTTGTCTTCGAAAACATGGAAAATTCGAAGAGAGTGTTGTGAAATCCTTGAACCGCCAAGTGCTAAGTGGTCTTGCTTATCTGCATGACCAGGGAATTCTTCATCGAGATCTAAAAGCTGATAACATTTTGCTTGATCTTGATGGTGCATGCAAAATTTCCGATTTTGGTATCTCGAAGAAGAGTGATAACATTTATGGTAATGATGTTACCAATTCCATGCAGGGTTCAGTTTTCTGGATGGCCCCCGAAGTAGTTCAATCCCAAGGCCAAGGATATAGCGCCAAAGTTGACATATGGTCACTTGGCTGTGTGGTCCTGGAGATGTTCGCGGGTCGACGACCATGGAGCAAAGAAGAAGCTATCGGAGCGATTTTCAAGCTGGGGAGCTTAAACCAAGCACCTCCTATTCCTGAGGACGTTGCACTTGCAATTGAACCCGCTGCTCTTGCATTCATGTATGACTGTTTCACGATGTGAGTCACCCTCCTGTTATTAACCGCAAATAAATATTGTCCTACGTCTACTGACTGACACCTTTTCTTAGCGATACTTTTGACCGTCCAACTGCCGAAACTCTGTTGTCACAGCACCCATTCTGCACGGTTGATCCAAACTTTAATTTCCTTGACACTGAGTTACATGCCAAGATCCGACATGTCCTTTAAGGGGCTTTCAATTCCATATTCATCTTGCCTCGCGATCGGCCATTTTCTCAAAATTCAAGGTCTTACTGGTATAATTTTCCATCTTCTCAGTCTACAAATTAAGGGACTGTTCCGCTATTTTATACCCAAATTTCCGTTTCATTTTATTGCTTTTAACTCCATTTGTGACTCTTCATATGGCAGTTCATTTGAATGTTTATTCTGAAGGTGCCTCTAGAGGTTCTCTTGTGATTGCTATATATCTGTTATGAAGCCAACTGGTATGAGCGTGCGAAGCATAGGCGTTTCCAGGATTTTCTCTCTGCCCCTTTAAATGAGATCGTCGCGTTAGAACCTACTCTCTCCATACGCATTATTGTAAATATTGCGAATTTCAAATGCACCACGTTCGAGAAATGGAATCTGCTCGCCATAGTCGCAATAATAAGGTTAAAATGCCCAAGTTAATTCGCACCTGACTTGAGCCTCATTTGTTTAGTCAGCAGTTGAGATAGAGAAATTCTTAAGCAGACGACGCGGTTTCAACGACAGACAAGGTGATCAAATACTCACCTCACCGAAATATGGCTTCATTATCGTTTACATTATTGCCCGAGGCGCTTATGCAGCTCCGTGATGTATTGATTTGTCTATCTAAATTCAATGAAACTGTCTCGATCGAAGCAGAGCCTGACTGCGTAAGCCTCAACTGTGTTACTACCGTTCCCCAATAGCAGTACATCTCCTAAGGCAGTTGAGATTTACGTTTGTTATTCAGGTGAAGAGGTTATTAACTTATATCCGGATCATGCTCTCTAGCTACGCCTGTCAACATTGAACGTTACCAAATCAGGTTACGCATCATATAGATTGGACGCACCATCCTTCTTTTCACAATACTCATATAGTACGCCATTGACTAAGGACAAAAATGGAAAGGATAAGATTTCTTGTCAAATATATATCAAAGTACAGCTTCCCTATTAGTTATAGATATTAGAACATCCAAGCTGACGAGAATTATTTTTAAGGCACTATTATCTGTGTTCAAGGGGCGGGCTGGCGATTTTAAGGACAAAGATACTGCAATTGAAAGGTGTAAAGCCCAGTTATTTGACAGCCCAGAGGAAACAGAATGTCGTTTTGTGGTACAGATGATTTGCAAGCATGGTGAGTGGGCCAATAAACTTTACCTGGAATATTCATGCATTAACATACTCTTATTAGGTGTTTTGAGGACCTACAAGCTCATCTATGAGCCAGCTGATGTTCAGCATGCAATTTTCGGTAGATCAGATTCCCAAAATCAGTGGAGTGTGGATTCCAGATTCTTGCGTGAAATACTTGAACATTTTGGCCGTGGTGCAGAGCATTTAGACGTATATTGCGAAGATGGCCGGGCAGTGTTCACTAGCTATACAGAGAAAGTTATAGCCGGGACAGGTATGCTGGTGTTAACATTCATATCTTCATATATTTTCCTTCCAGCTAATGGTGTATAGAAATACTGAAGCAGCCGGTTCATACGTCCGTGGCAATCGAGACACGAGACTTTGTTCATTTTAGCGTCGAAGAAGGACTACATGTTGCTATCAGCTTAAGAGATTTTAGGGCTGTTATTCTTCATGCAGATACGCTCAAGGTCCCCATCACCGCTCGGTATACACGGCCGTGTCGGCCTCTACAATTCTCCTATGGTATACCTGAGATGACTTGTGAAATCACGCTGATGACGCGTGGGGAATGCATTGATGAAACGGAGTCGGTTCCATCGCAGAGTAATGGGGCGCGGGAGGTTCCAGCACGACCTGCGCAACAAGTTGTAGTGAGTGCTGGGGGAGATGGAGTTTCCAGGGAACAGCAGCAGCCAATGCAGGTACATGCGCAGGTACAACCCGAACCACAAATATCAATGCTGCCACCAGCCTCTCACGGGCAAGGTACGAAGCAGATCACATCCCTTGCACCCGTCGCGCCAATAGATCATGAGAGCTTGTTTGTTGCAGCAGATGATGATCGCCAGTGGGATGAGCCTCACTACGAGGAGGAAGAGAGGGAGGATATGCTTCGCTGGGACTCAAACCTGGACCAGGTAAAGACCTTTCTCATACCCATAGATTCCTTGATATTGATGAAATCGTTTGTATAGGAGGCCTTGCGGCAGAATATCGGAGGCACTATCCAAGACAGTGTATCTAAGATGGAAGGGAGTTCCGGGCGGGACAATATTGACGCTAACCGGATGGAAGACAACGCGGTGGGAATTCCACCAACTCAGCGGATATCTCAGGTAAGACCGGATAACATTATTTTATTTTATTTTATTTCCCATTACAGTGCTTACTGAAATAGATACGTGGTCTATTTGATTGACCTACTGTTTGGGAATCATACTATCTAACTTCAGGTTCAGATAGCAAAACCCAACTTGTAGCGCACCCAGCACCAACAGCCTCGATGCTGCTGTTATCTATCGGCAGTTGAACTTCATTCCAGTGTCCGGTAACGTTACCTTGCTCATCAGTCTCTGGGCCACAATTGCCGTGCTCACCCCATCCAAATGCAATCAGAGTCCTATGATCGATTGCGCCAACAACGTGCTCGCTTCCAACAGCAAGGTAATCTAGAGCGGGCATTGTGGCAGTCGGCAATTGGCCTCTATCATTGCGACCCCAAGCCAGTACCGTGCCATCACAGAGATGTACATATACGCCATGCCAACTAGCGGTTAGTGACTTGTATGGAGCTACCATGGAAGGAGCAGCAGATGATAGGGCCCATTTATCTGGTCCAAGTATGTAAAGCGACTCTGATGAAGCGCCAGAGTAAGATAACGATGCCGAAGAGGTGGTTGTCAGTACGGTGAACTCCCTACCACAGCTGATCCCTCGAATATGGCCAGGCAGATTACCACCCACCACTATCTTTTGTGGCGACCAGACGACCTTCTGACTAACCTTGTCGGCTCCCAGCTGACCTTTTCTCGCTGCTCCCCAGCCGTATATTGTGCCATCGTCTAATAGAACTATGGTGTGGGCCATACCGCTGGCGATGGATATGACATTTCTACCAACTGGTGGAAAATTCGGTATCTTCGTTGGCAACGTCCTCTCGATGACGTCTGGCCCTAGACCAAGTTCACCCTTTGACCCGTGCCCAGCGACAAATATAGAGTCTTTGTTGACATCTACAAAAAAGGAAGCAGACCATGTTGCAGAGATATTGGAGAAGGTGGAAGCCTCGCGCCGGGCAAGAGCAACATCGGCAAGCGGCTCGGCGATAATGACACGCTGAAATCTGAGGAGATTCTGGGTCGAAGCGTGCGTGGCACACTCGCCATGCAGATTGGAACCAGCGGCGTACACTCTGCCACAGGCCAGTCGAATCAAAGTGTGGTTCCCGCCAGCGATGAGCTGCATGAGACTGGGACTGAGGCTATCTCTATCTCCCGAGGCAGGCGAAGGGTGCTCGTCCCCCACGAAAAGACACCTCGCTGGCGTATTGACATCTTCCATGTGCCCGATCGCCAACTGGCCTGCACCGTTCGAGCCAAAAGCGTAGAGGTGCATCATTGCGAGCCCACCACGTTCCTCAGCTGGCAGCGTTTCGTTCGAGACGAAGAAAGGGAGCAGAATGACCACGGGGCAGAAGCCCGGGGAGTGCAACAGCCCAGGGACAGGCCCGGGAAACTGCTGGCTGCTGTCTATGCCTAACAACAACCCCTTCAGCCTTTCCCCCTGGTCGGCCCAACCAACCTACAAGTAAGCTAGAAAGCAACAGAAGGGGAGAAAGTCAATAAATCCCTCACGCAAAGCACAGCCAGAAAAATATTACTGAAGGAAACGAAGCCTTGAGAGCAAAGATATACTTTTCTCCCGATACTTACTACAATATTAGCAGGTCGGTTATTATTGGCCTACGAATTGAAGCTTGCGCTTAACGACAGGTGACTAAGCGAGATAATGCAAGATGCCAACTCCATTTCTTCGTTATCAGTCAAAATAGAAACACAGGTGTTGGTGCATAGACGATATGAATGTCTATCACATCAGGGAGCAGAGAAGCTTGTCGCCTTGGATCTCTTACCATCCCAGAAACTAGAAACGACCCTGCCCCCTTCGCTGCGGAAGCTGGAACGTTCGCGATGTTACTAGCGGGACGCCACCCGGACAACTCCCGAGCAAGGGGCTTGGGCAGCAAGGGAGAAAAGATAACCCCCACTAACTTGCCTGGTACAGGGCAGCCCGCACCGTCAGGATTTCAGGATGACGGGGTGATGTCGCGAACTCACCCCCCGGAGTAACATCGCCGGCGTCGCAACTGCTAGCCAACCTCCTGTCCACGCCGATGCTAGGCTTCATGAAAAGGATACAGGCCTCGCAACTACCTACCTGGCATTCTTGCTCGCGGGATTGCTGTTCATCCCTCCTTGGCGAATAGCTGGGGTGGCCTAGGGACGGAAGCTAGTGGGAGGAACGAAAGCAACTCGATCGGAACAAGCAGGGAGTAGCAGCTGTTCACAGAGGGTTTGTTTCGAATTAAGGAACACACAGATGGACATGAAAGATAATGTGACACTGCTGGTTACCTTATCTTCACCTATCAGATATCAGTGACGGATCTCTGGCAACTATCAGGTGCTACACTGGAAACCTTTTGAGAACATTCTTCTTGGGAACAAGAATCTCCATCCCGGAGAAGTTATCTTCCTTTTTCCGGTCTCTGCGTTCTGATTCGAGGCGATGACGCAGGCCAAGGGGGTGCAGGCCAAGTGGGGAGCAGAGCATGCAAGCCGAAAGCCAGTCAGATTGCTTCTACAGTTACGACCAGGGAGGGGGGGGCGTTGCGGGACATGATTTCATCGGAGGTTGCTCTAGTACTTTGGGGACATGAAGGTCCAGGCAAGTGAAAGGAAGAAGCAAAAAGAATACTTATATAGCTTGCCTCCTCGGGCGCAGGATGGATGTATATGGTTATCTCTGGTGTCTCTGGTACATCGAAACTACTTCCCTGCCAGCCCTGTTTTATGCTATACAAATCTAGCTTTGAATACCACTCAATTGGACGATAGACATTCGCCTTGAACCAAGTTTCAGATCCTTTACTGCTTTGCTCGCTCGCTTGCCTGCCCCGTGGTTGCACCGGAAGTGAATTACACGAACCAAAGGCGTACAGAGTAGAAGTGACAGAGAGCGCGGAGAGAACCTGCGCTGCAAACAATACAAATAAAAGGGCCGTCCGCAGAACCAACCGTCAAGCTGGCGTCCTCAACTCCCAACTTCCTTTCCTTTTTCTTTTCTTCTCTCCTCGCCCTCCCCACTACCTCCGTCACGTCGATATTAAAAGCCATCAGCACTGCTCTCTCCTCGGCAATCTCTCTCTTCCACACATCTCCTTCAACGAGAGCTCTAGCAAGGCAAAAGACCGCTTCATCAGCTACCCTTTCCGCGTCCGCGTCCAGCAAGATGCAATCCAAGAAGGCGATCCATTTCGGCGGCGGCAACATCGGCCGTGGCTTCGTTGCCGAGTTCCTTCACGAGTCGGACTATGAAGTCGTCTTCATTGACGTGATGGACCAGGTCATCGAGAACCTGCAGAAGTCAGAGTCCTACACCGTCACCGAGATCAGCTCTGCCGGCGAGAATGTCAAGAAGATCACCAACTACCGCGCCATCAACTCAAAATATAACATGGAGGATGTCATCCGTGAAATATCCACTGCAGAAGTTGTCACCTGTGCTGTTGGACCCAATATCCTCAAGTTCATTGCCTCTCCTATTGCAAAGGGTATCGATGCCCGCACTATCGAACGCCCTCTTGCCGTCATTGCTTGCGAGAACGCCATTGGAGCAACGGATTCCCTGGCCTCTTTCATCAAAGAGCATACAGACAAGGACCGTCTTGCCACCCTTTCTGACCGTGCCCGATTTGCCAACTCTGCCATTGACCGAATCGTGCCCACTCAGGACCCCGATGCCGGTCTAAACGTCAAGATTGAGAAGTTTTATGAGTGGGCGGTTGACCAGACTCCATTTGGTGACTGGGGCCACCCAGACATTAAGGCCATCCACTGGGTTGACAACCTTGAGCCATACATTGAACGCAAGCTCTACACTGTTAACACTGGCCACGCCACTGCTGCCTACTATGGGTATAACTCTGGGAAAAAGACCATCTACGAGGCTCTTTCTGACCCCCGTATTAAGAAGATGGTTGACGACGCCCTAAGCGAAACTTCTCGGCTCATTATTGACAAGCACGGCATCCCAGAAGAGGAGCAGCGTGCTTACGTCAATGCTATTATCGAACGTATCTCTAACCCATACCTGGAGGATGTCGTGGAGCGTGTTGGCCGTGCGCCTGTCCGCAAGCTGGGCCGAAAGGAACGCTTTATTGGTCCTGCTTCCCAACTCGCTGAGAGAGGCCAAAAGGTCGATGCTCTGATGGGTGCGGTCGAACAGGCTCTGCGCTTCCAGAATGTATCTGGCGACGATGAGAGCACTGAGCTAGCCAAGATCCTTCGTGAAGAGAACTGCGAAACCGCCACCCAGAAACTGACTGGGCTGGAACCTAACCACCCTCTGTACGACCGTGTTGTTGAGAAGGTTAGGAAGGTCCAGAATGAGTCTAGGTACGTCAGGGGATTGGGCAAGATATGACTTGAGAGGGGTATAATTAACGCTGTCCTACAGAGATATGATGCCTTCCGTCTTGTAAATCAGCGCAAGAACCATGGAGAAACAATGCCTATCTGTCCCGTGAAGCTGCACAAGCACCTGCAACTCGACAGTCGGAACCCAAATCAACAAACGCCTCTTTGCATTATTAGCAAACAACGACAACTGGAAGGACATTTCCTCCAAAGGATCAGCGAAAGCAACAGAATAAAAAGAACAAAAAAAGAAAAAGAAAAAGAACCAACAGCAAGCACTCTAACCAGTATGATTAACGATGTATCTATTATGCCCCCTTTTTCCCCTTTTCCTTTTCATCTTTTATTTCGGACTCGGGCTGGGCGTCGGCGTACAAGGAGCCAGGCCAGCGTTCACAGCATTACAGACATGAACACATTAGTGATTCCAGCTAGCTAGTTACGAGAACAATCTCGACATGCCGCCATGAGCGAGCTGAAGCAATGAAATACAATTTGTAGCTCTTAGTCCTCGTCTTCTCATCTTCTCGACATGTTTATTTTATTTTTTTTATTAATATTATTTCGGGCGGACGGGGATGTATATACACGTGATCGGCTCGTGCAACTACTTTTATCCGACATCCGAACAACCGTAATTATGTAATCTCGGTGGATTAAAAGATTCGGCGAAAGAGACGAAAAAAAAAAAAAAAAGAGCTGGAGACCGCAAGGGACAAGAGAGGGACAAGAGAAGGCGAGAGAAACGGGAGGAAGGAGTCGGGAGTGCATCGAGAGACGGGCGGATAGGGACAAGGAGCGGCCATGTCCATCCATGCTTGGGAAACCAGTGAGGATGCAGCCAGGGATGTTACTTGCATAAGGTACTCCTTTTTATAGGCTGCGTATTACTCCGTTCCTCGCAAAAGCCCCAGTCGACTCCGATAATATCTAAGTATATACGTACTACATAGAGCCCTGGTATATCCGGCCAGACGAAGAATATGGCTTGGAAATAGCCGGACCAGCATCAACTTCGCACCTCCCTTTAGCCCGTGCAAAAGAGAGGGTAGGAGGCCTAACTTAGTGCTGCTTCCGTTTGGCAGCGCGGAGAGCGACGCATACAGCAGCCAATTCCCCGCCCTGCAGGATGGCTCGCAGTTGTTTCCCTGCAAATGGACTCTTCTCCGCTTGCAGCAGTCGTGGATGCAACCCGAGGCCCTCTTGATCGTTCCAGCCACAGGCTAAGGTTCGCAGAAGGACCCGGAGGGCGGTGCAAAAAAGAAAGAAAGTGACAACGAGGCGTCGTGGATCCAGAGAGCAAACAGGCAGGCATGCGGTTTGTTGCTTTTTCGCATCCTCTGCAAAGCTGAGCACTACCCTCTGGGTCCAGACAGAGAAGGCTAATATATCCCTCTTGCAGTGGGAGAAACGATGGTCTTTGTCGAGGTTGTGGTTACATCACTGCGGTGCGGGAGAAGCGAGGATAGCGAGCTCCCCTTGGCTTTCTGTAGCCTCATGCAGGGCGGATAGCGGCATCAGGTGCCCCCAGCGGACGGGTTCAACCGTTATTCCCGTATCTCTCGCCGTGCCCATCTCTTTTGCATGTTCCTTTTTTGTGCGCTGAACTGCCCATTTTAGGACGATTCGCAGCTGAATACAGCCCATCGCTCATATTCAAACGTGTTATTGGGATCGTTTATCGCCCGTTGTCTAGGCGCTTATCGCCCTTATCGATGACCTCATAACGTGGGCCGCTGGGAAGGAAAAGCGAAAAACAGGCTGTCGCTGTAACCGCACGCGACCGCAACAAGGCCAGCGACCGACGGTGATCCTCGTCTGTATAGCATCGTCTTCCTGTACTCTCCATATATGTATCTCTGTATATGTGTGCATTTCCGCTTCGTTCATTCGTGCTGATATTATCTATCTTCTCAGCGTTGCGGCTTAGGCTTTTTGAGGCATCACATTCGTTTTTCGGCCTCCACACAGATTGTTGATAGATATTCCATACTAGCATATATATCCCGTCCAGGAAGCCCTAGGTGTCTGCCCACGTCTAATATTCCAAACTTGAGAAGGCGGAGGAGGGAGCATGGCTACTCTGCCACTACCGCCTCATCGCTCCCTTCTCCATGGGGTCGAGCAGCTGCCGCCATACACCCCGCGCATAACACCTATGAACGACCCTGAAACAGCATCTATACATTCTGATGCGCCGTCGTATGTTTCTGCTGCACCGTCCTACCACTCATATCTACCAGCATCCCACCGACGGGCGAGCGATGTTCTCACTGGCACCCCTTCACCAGCTGAAAGTCAGCCGCAGCATCAACCCCGTCAAGACTCTCAGCAGAGACAGGAGCGACAGACGGCTCGAACTCAGCCTGCACACAATAATAACTCAAACCGACATGGCCTCCCTCCGACACCGATGTACGCCCGTGGTTTCGAGAACCGCATCGGCCCAATATCCCCCTTCAGCAATTCATCCAATTTCACCGCCCGCTCTATACGCAACACTGCTTCTAGCCTTCGGTCAATATACAACTCGTCAGAATGGGTGCCGGTAACAAGCGGTCTGCAGTCGCGCCATTATCGAAATGTTGCAAACAGGCGTGTGACAAGTTCGTCCAGCGAAATCAATGCCATATCGAGATTTATATTCCCAGGTCTTTTCCAGACAACAACCGATCTCACAACGTCCAGTATCTCAGAGACGGAGAACCGGCCTTCTTCGTCAAGAAATATACCGGTACCATCTTCCCTTGGGCAGGCACATAACTCCTCCACCGTCACGCTCGTTCGTTCTCCGACAGAAGAACCACCAACCGTATCGACTGCAAATGAGATAGCCTCGCCCATGCATTCTGGCATACATCTCCCATTATCTCCCCATGAGGATCCTGATCTGGTTGGCGAAGAAGCTGCAGCTCGCTTCCGATCTCAGCGGCTTTACATGGCATCGCAGCAAGAAGAACCGAATCGAGTCCGCTATCCAACGCCACCTCGAAGCCCCGCACAACAGCAAGAACCGCCTAGTCAACCAGGATTGGTATATCAGTATAGTTCGCTCGTATCGCCTGCGTCTACTTCAATTGAATTCACACCTTCGCCAGAACAGCAGCGGAGAGCTCGTATGACGGGCTCCCCAGTTTCGTCAGATAATTTGTTACTTCGGCCAAGACCTAGTAGGGACCGCATTGAAGCGGCTAGGTCTCAGAGCCCAGAAACACAGCAACTGAATATCCATCCCCTCACACCAACACCAACACAGACACCTCCTACTGCACGCAATACAACGGCTACACTCAGCGCAGAAGCAGGACCCAGCACAAGCACAACTGCAAGGTATAACCGCAGATCTGTTGTCGACCATGACAATGTCTTGCGTGCTCAGGAGGCACAGAACTGGGACTTTATGCTAGCCCAGATGGCAGATGGAGAAGGCCGCGAGCGTAGCTGGAAGAAGAGGTATAAGGGGCAAGTTGAGAAGCAAATTCATATTGCGAGACATTTGAAGCTAGGACCTCTTCTCATGGTTGGATGGAGGAGGCGGCTAGAGGAAAGGAAGAAGGCAAAGGCAAGGGCATTTAGTTAATGGATATCTATTAATAGATATCTCTCCACAATTTTCATTTTTGGTTTGGATGGCTGTTGTCTTCGATTTTTCGGTTGAATATGGTTTTGGTTTCACTCAATTGGTTAATTGCGGGCTTGGTTGAATGGTCATCGCTTATATATGTGTAGGTGGGATATCAGATAGCATTAAGCATAGGTTGAGTTCACATCCTGCTCACTAGCTAACAACATGGTCATTTCTTGTAGCTGTCCGGAGTATGGCTTCTGAAATGGAGAGAGCGCTCTAAGAGATCCAGGGATATGCTGCTCCTATATTGATTAGAGCGACTTATTATCTCCATTCGAATAGTTTCTGTCAGTTACCCGTCGGCTCCTCGAGAGCCATAATATTCCAGTATACCTGCCTAAATAATTCCTAAACGTCCGCCCTATAGCCACGACTGTTTCGTACTGAATTCAAGTTCACAGGTCCTTTGAGTAGATGTAGGTGGATATATGACGGGCAAAAAGGGCATTGGCAACTAAGCAAACTCATGAACTGTATAGCCCTAGGCGTCTGCTAGGCTTCTGGGGCGCCTGAGCAGATGATGGCTGGCCATGAAATCTTCCGTTTTGTCGAAGTTGAAGCTGGACGTTCGAAGTAGGTCAAAAGGAGCTTTCTGCCACGTGACCCGAGCCTCCAAAGCTTTAAATTAACTCAACGAAACATCCGCGACGGACAGATAACGAGCTGTGCATCCAACACCTTTGATGTTCCCAGGAATACATATATCAGCCCTCTGCACTCGGAGCGGTCGTCGGCTAATTCCATCATGCGCATTGTCTAGAAGATGCATGGGTCTACAAACGGCGAGGGGACGGAGCAGCCAGCTCTGCTCGCAGTGGAGGATGCTTTGAGTGGGATGAAGAATGACCTTGAGTTCACGCAATGGTATGGCAGCGCGAAGGACGAATTGCTAGAAGCGAGCTACGAAAAATACCAGTGCGTTTTGATAATCTACTTTTTTATAACCTCGTGTTATTTATATACGTTGACTAACAGGTGGACTATCTAGATCATGTCTCGATGACTTAGAATTAACGACCTGCCACCTTGACTCTCTTCTCCAAGACACATCACACACTTTAGACATACTCTCCACTCTATCACAATCATTTGAAGCAGTGGAGGATCGCACGTCCGCTTTTCGGAAACAATGCGAAGGCCTCCTCTCCGCTCGGAACAAAAGCGCGAAATTAGCAGATGAGATTCGGGAGAACCTGACGTCCTATGACTACCTGGATCCAATATCAAGAAGACTCAATGCACCAGGAGCTGGCAACTCAGTTCGCTCAAAAGATTTTTCGGATATGCTGAGGCGTCTAGATGAGTGTCTAGACTACATGCATGCGCATGTAAGTTAGGAACTCTTTCCACCATCTCACCACTGTGTTTTGACGACTAATATATGCACTCACTCGTAGCCAGAACAAAAAGAGGCAGAAATATATAGAGCTCGGTATCGCTTACTCCTCACTCGTGCACTTACGTTAATCCGCGGCCAGTTTGTCTCCACTGTGCGGGACATCTCAGCAGGAGTTACAAAGCGGATTGCCGATCGCCAGCTTAATGATACAACCATGTCAGCTCTATTATATGCTAAATTCCGTGTTGGTGCCTCTGAGATGAAAGACATGGGACTCGAAATTCAGAAGAGAGCAGTTCCTCCCCTAGACCCCGAACAAGGCGCCGAAGCAGAATACCAAAGTCTCCTCAACGAGCTCCATGTAAACTTTGCAACTTCCCGCGCAAGGCTGGTGGTACCTCTTGTGAGAAAAAGACTGAATGATATCGCAAATGCACCAAGCACGTCAAAAGATTTAGTTGCGTTTGCAAGAACGAGCATCAGCTACGTACGCGGTATATGTCTCGATGAATTCGATTTGTGGGGAGAATGGTTTCATGGCCAGTATGGTCTTTATGATTTTCTTGAAGCCATTTGTGAGCCGCTTTATGACCATCTGCGACCTCGAATCATCCATGACAATAAACTTGTTAGACTCTGTCAGCTCTGCATACTACTCCAAACTCGGTATTTAAACGAACCTGACGAAGATGGAGAGTGCGTGGTGGATCCAAATCAGCTAGATTTTGCGATCTTGATCCAACCTGCGCTTCAGGATGCGCAAACTCGACTTGTATTTCTTGCACAGGCAATCTTGCGAGATGAAATCGAGAGATTTAAACCACGGCCAGAGGACCTTGATTACCCTGCTAAGAATAAGCAAATATCGTTAAGTGCGGAAAATAATACCACGCCAGTAGTTTCAGGAAGAAAGTCTTCATTAATTGAGTCGAAGATGCCAATGGTTATGGATGAAGATACGGACTCCCCGGCAGAGAAAGAATCCCAATGGGACTTTACTTCTCAGGCAATGTTTGAAGGATGGTATCCGACTCTGAAGAAGGCAATCTGGTTGTTAAGTCGTATATATCGACTGGTTAACGCAAGTATTCCCTGAATTTATAAGTATACATTGGCCCTCGTTTTACTAACAGGACTGTCGATATAGTCGAAAGTGTTTGATGACTTAGCCCATCAAATTGTCCATCAGACAACTCTCTCAATTCAACAGGCTGGCACGGAGATATCGTCGAAAAAGTCAAAACCGGACGGCCTCCTATTCTTGATCAGGCACTTGTTGGTACTAAAACAGCAAATTGTTGCATTTGATATAGAGTTTGTGTCCCCTGACGTATCCTTTGACTTCTCTGGGGTAACCAGTACTTTCTGGGAACTACAAGAACGCGGAGGACTCTTCAATACCCGGACGTGGATTCAACTTGTTGGAGGTGGCCTTCTACCTCAGGTAGTTGAGAACATGTTGGACGCCAAGGTTGAGCTCGATGGTACACTTCGAACAGTAATCAATGACTTCACCAATACTTTCGCAACCAAAATGACATCCAGCTTGCCTCCAGTATCAGGCAAAACAATAACCCCGACATTATCTCAACAAATTCAAAAAGGTGCATTAACTATGCGCCATTCCATTGAGGAGGAAGTACCTATTCTACGGCGGTTACTAGACGATTATATTGATGACAAAAGAACAAAAGAAACGCTCGTTAGTGCTGTTCAGGATACAGTCACTCAGCTCTATGAAGATTATTTGGAGGCATATGCTGCAGCAGAGGCTGGCAAAGACAAGCCTGGTAGAAAAGCCTCTAGAAAACCAGTTGCGACCGGAGAACTCTGGGATATTGAAAGATTCGGGGATTGGACTGACTCTATCTTCAGGCCGAAGATTGAAGTCTATGAAAGTGACAATGATGAAAGTCAAAATGATGACCCGGATGAAAATGGAGAGTATGGTATAGACAGCGACGAGGAAGATAAAAGTAGCTAGGCTATCTTGCAGGATTGCTCAAGAGGAAATAAACGCTTCTAACTATGGCTGCCCTTCGGGAATTTCTAGCGTAAGTTTGCCATTGATGCACTCTGAATTCCCTTTTAAACTATATAATTGCATATGAGAGTAAAATGCAACAGACCATATAAATGTGAAGATATCAAAGTAATCTATTATTTATAACGTAAAATGCCTAGACAGTTTCGTATAGTAACACATCCATCCTTCGGCGCCAGAACCTCTCTACCCTATCGAAGTGCGCCGTACGCCAAGTATAAGTAAACAATGCAAGATTTCCAAGACCGTCCAAATTAATGATATCTCGGTGATTCTGCCTTGAGTAGCATCATAGGCCGTCGGGTAAGTGGTATATTCATGACCATCAACAGCAGTATCCCATTGACATAACACTATCACTATGCAATCATTCCCACTACCATCCATCATACTAGGCATATGACCTGCCTAATGCTGATAGGAACCTCAACCCCTGCAAATTAAGTGAGCAATTGTTCTACAGTTTCACATGAATAGGAAGAATTGGGCTGCTTACAAACAGTACGAACACCGTAGCGTCTTCTTGAGTAAACGTTGGACCACTGACGGGAGTAGGCAGGTTCATATTCATAGTGCGGGCGGTTGCCTAGTCGTGCAAAGTGAGGTCGTTGATGAAAGCCCAGGCGGCAGCTTCTGAAGTGTACCTCTGGCCAAGGCCGGGGGTGTATTATTCCACAAGGTCTCTCTTCACGTCTCTCAACGGTGAAGCTTTGCGTCTCCATCTTCGTTGTGATCCAAATTTGGCACATCGAAGTGAGCGGCGTGCTGCGAGAGCTATTTGACAAGACAGGTGACGAAAAGCGGGACACCGGTGAAACGACTGTACGTACTACCCAATAGTCCCTTCTCAGGCTCCAGATAATTTTGGTTAATATATTCGTAAGGGTAGGATAAACGTAGGGTATTTAGCTGGTTGCGGTGCCACCAGTATTTTTCAACAGTCTCTCGGCTGATAAAGTTGGGATAACTGCATTGATAATATCGAAGATTACGAACAAGACCAGATTATGGAGGGGAATACAACGGTAGTTATAGGCACCCACAGCAATCGTATATTTGTTGCATGAAATCACACAGCAGGGTTATGTTGTTAGGCAGACGCCGCAGTCACCAAGGCACCATTCCCTGCCATTCCAGGTGAATAATTTTTGGGATTCCTTCTTGGTTTACTGGAGCCCAGCATCCCGCCATGGTGGTAGTCTGCAAGCCTCCCGCGAGACGACAGGGGACGAGGAATTTGTCAATGCGCAAGATGCCATGAGAGACAAGGCCTGAACGTGGAACACAGCCACATATTTTCTTACCAAAGCGTCAATGACGTCGGCCTGGGTATATTTTTCCAATAACGCATCCTCTGGCTATGGAGGACCAGAGAAATGTAGGATGGGCCCATCGTCTACCTATGTACGGAGTAGGTTAGCTAGACATAAGCGCCAACAACTAGCCACACCTACGGCTCACGAAGGAGCCGAGCAGTTAACTCAGCCACCGGCCCCCACCAATTGCATGAAAAAAGCTCCCTCCCCTGTCAAAAATGGTTGGTCCAGAATAAGCAAAGGTCAAGGGGACGGGTTTCAGTTGCATATCTATGTGTAGGCAAGGCGTCTTTGGCCGACTCACATTTGAATATGTGGCTGGTTAAAGGGCAGCGCGCATGGATCGTGGACGCGCTGCTGGACGGAGTTTTATGCAAGTCCAAACAAGCTTATTACGTAATCAATATCATCACTTAAAGCGGTTAGCTTGTATGGAGTCGGGTAGACGATGAAGTCAGTTATTCACTGTGTCTAGATATTTTAGATATTTCACTGCTTCTTTCCGTTCTCTTTTCCATCTACCTTTTCTACCCTGCCAGCTAAGAGTCAGGATTTTTTGTACTCGATTGCCCCATATTATTCCTTACGCTTTTAACATAATGTCAAAGATATATAACGACTCCCTCTGCAGCAGATCAGTGGTCTCCCCTTCTTGGCCCAGCAGTTTGATACATAATTTTTCTACCTACATTGACGGACTCGACCGCAAAAGATGATGCAGCTTGGCCATACTAAAGAAATGGCCTCGGAGATGATAGTTGTCTTCCCTGCTACCAAAGAGCCTTTGCAGAGCGCCAGAAGCAGGAGTATTACACCACAGTCAGAACGAATGGCTTCTAAGCAGATTGCATTCATTTCCCCACTGGGCTCATTTCCAATTACATCTCCCAGTCGTGTCGGTTCTCACTTATTCACACAATCAAGGCATCTGTTCCCTAGTGGAGAAGCATTTATAGGTTCGTTATTCCGCAATACCATAACTCTGCTACAACACGTTAACATTGTTATAGATGAGAGATTGACGCTATGCCCTGGGCATGCGCACCCTGAAATTCCACCATGGAGACATCGAATCTCGAATAAGCCCTTCCCACGTCACATCATATTCGATTTTGACCTCAGAACGGATTCGGTCTTTGAAGAGAAGTCTTTCATTTTTTATGATATCATTCCGTCTACCATGAGCGTTTTGTTCGACGGATGGTTTTTAATCTTTCATCTTGCATCTCTTCCGCCGAAGCCCTGGCCAAAGAGAATAGCAGGACTTCCCTGCTATTTTACAACCACAGAGGGAGATCTTGGTCCAAGTCCTCCGATATATCGCCCAAACTTCACGCACATTCGCTTGTTGCCAGATTTGAACTTCTCGGATGATGAATCCAGGGCAGAGGAACTCTTTCAGCTCACAAAAACACACTTCATCAACATTTTGGTAGCCATAACTGAGATTCAGTACTGGGGAAGGTTCATTGTCATTGTGCTTGAATCTCGCCACACGGATATGTCTCATCTACCCCAATCTATCGCCAGATGCAACTGCTTCTATTTGTACGATGATGAAATGGGCCGTCCTCTGAACCATTCTGCTTTACGCCATCTTGATCCGGCACGGGGATATCCAGACAATAGCAAATATGACACCTTGCGTCCTGGAGTCATGCTCAGCTCGGGAAAACATCCTACAGAGGGATGGGAACTGCTTACTTCGTCTGGAGTTGAAGTCCATGACCGAAATGGATATCGGTACATGACCTGCACAGCACACAGATTCCCACATAATGGGAGAGTTTTTCATCCAAACGCTGGCGGCCAAGAGATTGGAACCCTCCTTGAAGAGATCACGCATACAGATATCGGTTTGGTTCAACTCGATAAACAGATCTCCTTTACTAATGAAATGTTCCAGAACACAGTTGTTCCGGGGCCTCCCATACAACTACAACGATTCAATGCGGATGAAGAATCTCGAGGCAAAGCAGAAGATGACATTTACATCAACAGCCCATTTACTGGGTATATCGAGGGGATGCAGGGAGTACTTTCCACGTGTCGTATTCCAGCTGATGATCCTCATGAGCCAGAACAACCGTGGATTCAAACCAGATGGGATTACATGGGTCAGGATTCAAGCCACAATCTCGAGGATGGAATGTGTGGATCTGCAATCTGGAATGGCCAAGGGGATGTCTTGGGATTTTTCAGATATGCACCAAAATCCGGGCACTTTCTTGACTGGTGCATGTCAATATCCAGCCACGAGTTGGTGAAAAGAGGTTTCTCCATTGTTACCGATGCACACAGGTAAGAATGGCTATAGCTTTTCCCACAATCCCCTTAATAAAAAGGAAAAGGAAAGAATTGACAAGATGTACCAAATTCAAGTTCTTTAAAGCATTCTGGACGCAGACCCACCGTAGTTAAGGCAGAGTGAACTGTGAGGAGTGACCGTTGCACTGTTCCAATAGCTTATCTAGTGCTGGGATTTTGGAATTTTGTCATGCTGCCTTGCTAAGTAGTTAATTAGTTACGGGGTTAATTAACTCCTGGGGTTCATCGATCCGCCTTTCAATCTACCTGTCATCCGTCACTTCTCTTCCAGCTGCTCACACTCCAGTGTATGTCCGTGTCCAGAAGTGAGTTGATACAGATAAGTTTTTCTACCTCTCCGAATAAAGCTGCAAGTGCCTAGTGGAATGGATCAGTTACTCCTTTTCCTAAGGTGCCTTTCCCTTCAGGCTAACTACAGCTCTCTCCAAGTTCAGGTAAATCAACTATCCATTCCTTAAACCAACTTCTTGACCCAACACGCCGCATTGTTTCTACTCACTTTGCCCATTAACGATTAGGAACTTCTTACGAGATGTACCGAACTGTGAATTAGACTAGCCGGCTAAGTGAGGATGCAAAGACAAATACTTCCCGCTTCAAACCCTGAAGCAATTCGGTCGTTTCTGGACATCTGGCCTCGGATTAGAAACATCGGCCTCTTAGATGACCGAAATGCCAATTATGCATCCCATCCCAGCTATACCTGCAGATCAATGACGTCGAGGCTGACATACCTGCCGATGCAACGGCCCGACGGCGTTGAAAGAGATCAAGACAAGACAAGGGGTGTCTTTGAGCGCAAAAGAACCCGATAGTAGAGCGACGGCTGATGAACAGCCAGATCTACAAACATCAAGCGGTTGACCGTTCACCCTGGCCGCTTCCCGCTTCTCACACCCTGGACCCGTTCATCATCATCGCCTGTGCTGCAAACCACATGCAGAAGTTTTCTCGATCTTCTGAACACGCAGTTTGCGGGGAAGATTGAGCAAGGATTCTCCGGAGCTGTATCCGTATCGGGCAAAGCCTCTGAGGCTGCAGAAAGACCGTGGACTTGCGTATTCTCTATCGTTCGAATGGTCGGTGAAAGAAAGACACATAAGGACTGCTCATATGCCCATGCTTATAGGCAAGAAGGCCTGTAGCGAGCGTAAGCCATCGCTCGGCTAAATAAGGGCAAGGCGAAAGAAAGGGCTACCTCGTAGACATCGGCCTTGGGAGTTTCTTTTGCATGAGAAACTTGCTACCTGCCGAGGAAGATGGGGATAGCATACGTACTTTCATGCAGTTATATATCTTTCCACCCGCCGATCCCCGTATCTTCTGGCCGAGAAGCTCAAAGGATGTTCGACTTCGCAGGGCGCGGGGGTAGTTGATATTTAGAGTATCAAGAGATCTTCTGCAAGATTACGGTACCCCTAAAGGTTTGGGAGATAAGAAGTTGACATTTTAACGTGCTAAAGAAGATAATCGTAATGGAAGATAAAAAAAGCAAAAGACCTTCGAGAAATACTACGTCACTAGTCAACTATATATGGGGTATCAAAATAGTATCATCTAAAGCACACATGTGATTACAAGCCCATCATCTCATCGCATAAAGGAACTATATGTAAAAAAAAATGAAAAAAGATATCGGTGTATTATCTAAAAGAACAGGTCGTGAATAGACTGTGGTATCAGAATCCCAAAGTGCCAATAGGAAAAGCCGGTTCCCTACATAACTCATGTCCAACCGTGAAACACCAGCATATAAAAGTGTCACCTCGCAAGATATGCTCCGTCGTAGTGAAAAATATAAACAAAGAGAGTCGTAGATTGGCCATGGATTCGTGCTATAGGCTGTTTTAAACTGGTGGGGGAGTCCGAAGACCAGGTCGGCCGCGAGAAAAGTTCATGAAAGCCCTTTTCTTGAACGTAAGACCAGATATTGATGAACCGTAACTTGTGGAAGGGCGCGAGGAAGTCAACAGCGAGAATCGTCCTGAAATCCCGTCAATAGGAGACGTGTTGCCACTGCTACCACCATTGTTGCTGCCGAAACTACTGTTGCTCCTCCGGCGGTTGAAGAAGTCGTCAGGGTCACTCCTGGGAGCAGCAATAGGATCCTGGTTCGGGCCAGTATTGGCACGGGGGCGATTAGGATGGCGAGGAGGTATCGTTGGTTTGATCCCCAGACCAGAATCTTCGAAAGGCTTGTCCGGATAAGAGTGTTGTAGTGGAGACGAGGTGTGGGAAGTCGTAGGCTTAGAGTTGAATAACGATGATACCCGGCTGGGTACATACCAAGGATGAGACGTTGGGACTGGGAGCGGTAGAAGGCTCTTTTGAGTTTGGAGGTGCATATCTTCCATCATCTCGTCGATTATCTCGGCAGAGTCATTTCCAGGGTGCATATTCTTGTCGTCAAATTCACCCCCGCTGTTGACTATATGCACGTTCCAGGGCTTTTGTAAAGCAGGTGGTGCAGGCGTTGCAGGAGTAGCTATCGTTAATGGCGTGCCATACACAGAAGAGGAGCTAGTAATTGAGTCGTCTGTGTAAAGTGAAATAGAGCCGTTGCTGAGATCGGTATAGGAATCAGTCTCGGCGCCACCCAGTTGTGCGGATGAGTCGGTGTATGTAATATTGGGAAGCTTATTGCTATCCTGAGTTGCCTTGTCGTTGACAGCATAGCAGCTGTAATCTTCAGGGAATGCCGGCATAGGAGGTATCGGTATATCGCTCTCCTCACTCATGTCAAAGGAACGAAGACTTCCAATTACACCGTCGGATTGTTTAACCTGACAATGTGGTTGGGTAGAGCCGAAATCTATTTGCAATATGGCCATTGCAAACTTATCGGCAACATAAGCGGCGCGCGGTCGATATTTTGGGTCCCTTGCAAACATCTCCTTGACAGCCTCTAATATCGGATCGACTGCATGGAAATAGGACTCAGACTGCTTAGCGGCATCCTTCTCAAGAATGGCAATCCAGGAAAATATCTGTCGTGTATTCTGGTCCAAGTGGAAAGAGGTATCATTCGTAGATCGAACTGATGACTTCGTTCGGCTCGTACATCCACGATGTTGGGCGAAGGCTGATTGCTTTCGCTTGCATAAATGGGTTATTATATCGAGAATCACGGCAGCCAGAGAAAAGACATCAGAGGCCAGAGGTAGTTGTTCAGCAGAGTAACAATGGGAATTGTTAGGGATAGTTTGCGGTGGTGATGGGAAGGTTGCGCTTTGATTAGATCCATGTGTGCTGGTAGTTGACGTGGAGTGGGCATAAGATGCCCTTTTCCTGGATGGACCAACGCTCGAGAAATCAGAGGATGATCCCCAGGATGTAAGTCGACCTCGTGTATCGTAAGAACCCTTTTGTGACGTCAGAGGAGAAAATGCGAGATTGTCAGTACGGGTTAAGGCATTTCTGGTACCACCGGGGGGTTGCTGCCAGGCACAATGTTGGTTTGACCACTGCTCGGGTGCGGCGTATTCGTACGCTTCGGCAAATTCCTCTTTTCTTAGACCGACGAGAAGGTCATGAACATCAAAGAGGCCCAGGTATATGTGCATTTTGGCATCAATCAGGATATTTGATGGCCGGATAGCTCCATGGGCGTAGCCCTGTTCGTGCAACCAAGCGAGTCCACTGGCTAAGCAATTTGGCCAGTTAACAAGCCATCTTTTCTGCTCTAGTTTTGAGAACTTTCGGAGAGCGGAAGTATGTCTGTCATTGATAAACGACCGTAGGTTGCACTCGGGAAGGTGGAATAGCACATTGACTGTGCTTTCAGCTGTATATGTGCCAAAAATTGACAAAATATGTTCGTGGGAAAAGCGCTCCAACGACCTGACCTCCCTTAGGACATCCGACTCGCTTAGGAAGTGAGATGCTGTATCCTCGCCAATGGCAATCTTTACGCGAAGATATTCTTTCGTCTCGATTCCAGGGAGCGAAACCTTTTCGACAGGTAATCTATCGGACAGTACAACTGCAGGCCGTTCCTTGCAAACATCAACAGGTATAGTTTCATCTTCATCGTACGTGATGTGCTGTCCAGCTTCGATACCTCTGGCTAGAAACCGATTCTGGACCTCGACGAACCTCCAGTTCAAGAAAAGGTCCTCGCGGTCTGGAGAGAGCCGAAGGAGCTCTGCCTTGTTAGAGTCGAAGGGCAAATCTGAATCATCATATGTCTCATCCACAAGGCGAAAAATACGACTCGGAACCTCGATTTCCACGAGAATTAAAAAGAGCCTGCGACCTCGTTGTAAAATCCACTCGATATAAGTGTCATCCGTCAATCCTTCACCAAATGCGATCTTACTGTTCAGGCGTGGATGGAGGATGGGGTCCACATGCTTCAGTACAAATTCTCGCGTGACGGTGAAATCTATTTTCGCCTCCGTCCACAATGCAGTTGCAGGGCCCATGGTTCCTACCGTTTACTTGGTCCGGAAAACAATCCAGCGTGGGCACTGTCAAGTTCTTCTTTCTAACAGTAGATGTATATCGAGGCTTGCATAATTCTTGTCGTTTCCATCTCTCGATTCCAGTTGAATGTATGATCGAATGTCAGAATGTCGGGAGAGGAAAAAAGAGCGATCATAAAACAATAAAAGCTGACCAGCCGTTGAAAGAAAAAGTACCATGGCCAAGGAGAAGCGTGAAAATAGGGGAGCATCACAGTATATCTAGTCAATATACCGAGTGATCTCTCCCCCACAGTCACATTTTGCATGAGCAAACGCTTGGGAAGTGGCCAGCCAATTACTTAGATGCATCGGAAAGGCGACACTAGTCTGGCAGGGATTAGCCCAATTCTGGAGTTTCGACCGGGCTGAGCAGGGGGGCCTGGCTGACAAGTGGATATCTTCCCCATGGGATCTGTGTTGACCACATGAAAGGACCTTGTCCATCTGCGCTATGGCTTGCCGGGCTTTTCCTTGTTTGTTCTCCTGGCTCCCTGCCAGTGCTTTTAATAACATGATAACCAACGCCCTAATTGGTGGCACCTTGCATGCATGACGGGGGGGAATTTGTCAAGATTCGTTACCTTCCTCCCGTCAAAGGAAGGGAAAGGAGAGGGGGCTTGTTCGAGAACAGAACACACGGGAACAATTCTAGAAAAAGAACTGCTCGTGTGCGCGCCATGAAACAGCGGGCTAAACGAGTTAGTTAGTTGAAAAAAGAGTTCGATCAGACACGATGGTGTTCTCGTACTACTCGTTCTTCGGCCCCAGCGAGAGCGCCATGCCCATGATACGGACTGATGGAAAACCATCTGAATCCTGCGTCATCGGAGAAGGCGGCAACTGTCGCATGTAGTGGGGAATCCTAGACGGCTCGAAGCTGTGATCGCGGGTCCCTGAGGGTGCTTAGAGAGGCGAAAACAGCTGGTGAGTGGCCCTTCACCCCCAGATAACCGAGTTCCTCGTCCCGCTATGTCAACCAATAACAGATACGAAGTTGCGTGCCCAAATGGATGTCGACATGGCCTTTCGCCTATCGCAAACAGGTAACCCCCTGGCAAATCTTGACCTTTGTTTGGCCTTCTTCTGCTTCTTTTTCTTTTCTCGCCCCCCCGTTTGCATGGCCGTTTTGTTCTCCACATCGTCCGCCCATCGCTGGAAATTTTGCTAGCGGAGACACTGTCGTACGACTTCACACTCGAAGAAGCAATAACACCAACAAACAGTGGCTGACTATATATTGAATATCAAGCCCGAGTCATGGTCGATCACATCGTGTCGAAACAATCCAGCCAGCCAGTCCCAAAGGAATCGATCCTTCGGCGCTCGGGGATAGTCAGTAATAGTCAGAGAGGCCAGAAAATATGGAACGTTGAAGATAATCCGCTATTAGGAAACTATATATACCAAAATAATGACGTCCAGACACCAACATTTAGTTAGGCCCTGTAAAATCCAGCAAATAAACGCAATTCCTGCCCAACCCAAGGGATATCAAGGGCAACGCCAAAACAACCATCCAATTCGGAAAACATCTGGTGCATAAAACAGCGAACAAAAGAAATAACGCCAATCAGTGATGCAGTTGGAGGCGTTGCTGCTGCTCCTTTCTCTGCTTCCGTATCTGCTCTCCAACAATAATACTGAATAATCTCCACAAGATATCTTCTTCACTCCATTCCATCTCTCCATCTCCTCCATGTCGGAGATCGTCCTCTATTAAGTTCTGGCGAAATCGTTCAACAATCATTAGTTGGATCTCTGTGACCTGGCGACGGTGCTGGCCGTCCGCGGACCACATCCACTGCCCAACCATCTCATCCCGTTCATCGGTAGGATAGTATTTGAACTTCTCCGGTCGCATCTTCGCTTCTCGATAAATTTCGCGAAGTTCGACATAGTGATCATCAGTAAAATATCCTGAAATCGCGAGTGGTTTAACAAAGGAGTGCCTATCAGGAACTTTGCCTTTCGCACGACCCCAATCCTGACTCCTGGCAGGAGGCTGTGTAGCAGGGGCAGCGATCTCAGAATTAGAAATCGAGCCAACGTCTTGCTTAGTTCTTACGGTCGGCCTCTGTTTCGAAGATTTTGTTGGAGCAGGGGTGCTGGTTAGCCATGCTGGTGCAAGGTTGCTCGTCAATTTGTTGAACCATGTCACCGTGGATGTCTGCTCTGGGGGGTCTGGAATAGACGGATTGGTGATGTCACTTTCAGCAGGGTCGTTTTCCGAACCTTCTTCTTCGTGCACTTCCACATAGACATCGCTTTCAGAAAGAGCTTCCTCCTGGACGACATTCGTACCTTGTAATACCTCGTCCTGGTTGCGCAGTGGTACTGGAGTGATGCTAGACTGACCTTCGGGTAGGGTATTGAGAGGATTGTCAATAATTCCTCCATCCTCTCCCCGAATAGATTTCTCTTGGTCCCCTTTGGGGTGGCTGTTTTGTGACCCTGCCGGCTCGTCAAAATTACGGTTATTACGCTGAGGCAGGCTTTCCAACATCTCCCGCGAGTGGTGATGCTGTGAATTCCCCACGCTAGACCGCTTGAAATTCCCCTCATAAAATCGAATGGTGGCGCTGTCTGGTGTCCCGAGCAATGGTGACAAGGATGCATCCGTATCCCTGTACTGATCCATCTTCGACTTGCCAACAGCCAATTTGGGAAAAGCGTCTCCGCCAGCAGAGAGGTCTGGAAGAGCGACGCTTTCGTAATCATCCGTTGCGCTATAAGCCTCTTCTTCCGTCCCAGCCCGAGGGCTTGGGAAGCCAAGCTTGCGGTGTTGAGGTAACTCTTTGCGTGCAGTATCAGATAAGGATGGGGAGTCAATTCGAGCTTCAGGTTCACGAGCCGCTTGCTGCCAAATGTCAGTCTCATCCCCGTCGTAAACCTCCTCTACCTCATCCTCCTTCTCATCCTCTGTATCATCTTGACTGTTAACCAGATCTCGTTCATTTCGCTGCTGAGGATTGTTCTCCTTGTGATTGTTCACCACCCCTGGGCGAGCCACTGGTTGCCTCAATCCGTCATCGCTATCAATAACAATGACTTGGCTCTCATTAGCCATTTCTATCTGACGGCTGATAGCTTCTCTTTCACGCCGCCATTCAGCTTCACGTCTGGCCATTAGCGAGTCCATTGAAGTATCTTCGGGATTTTCCTCTGCTGGATAAGGCTCCTGGCGTGGATCATCCTTAATCTCTTCTTCCCGATTTTCAGGGGCAGGTACTGTCGCTGGTTGGAATCCCTGAGATGTGCCTCCCAACTCCGGGTAAACCACGTTCTGGCTTGGCCGCATAGATGTTATCTCCTGGAGCCTTGTGCTTTCCCGCGTTACGGATAGCTCTCGCCGCTTTCCGTTTGGCTGACGAAGTCTTTTTACAAGCTCTTCTCCAAACCTGACCCCTGCTCGCAGTTCTCGCCGTGTCTCCATATTGAAATCTTGGAACAGATGGTCCAGTCTCCTCCGTGTAGCCGCCATATCGTCGGCAGAGTCCGTGTTAGGGCTTGAAAACGGGGTTTGGAGGTTACTACTTTGTCGCCTGCGATCCAGGAGGCCATGGAGAGCAATTCCAGCCCGTATTACGCGACATAATCGAGCCAAGGGCCGCCTTTTTGGGGGTATAATTTCGGGTGCAGCAGCAGGGGCAGGGGGAGGTCGAGTTACGGAACGAGGGTTGTTGAGCCGTGGTGTGCGATGAAGTCTTGAGGTCATATCTCTGGGGGATGATTGTTGGAGAGACGAGATAGCTTCGTATAATTGGCTATGTGGACGTTTAGAAGATGACTGGGTAACGGGAATGTTAGGCGATAATGCAGTCGTTGAGGTGGGTTTCGGGGAAATTTGCTGCAATGTCCGGGGTGTTGCATTGGATTTTGGTGTCCTAGTACGGCTGGCCTGGTTTTCAACTATTTGGCGCAGTCGCTGTCTGGCTGAGGGTAAAGTATTGAGCGAGACCATGCTGAATCCCTCGCTTTCCATGATTGAGTCAAATTCGCGATGCTCGTCTGTTGGATCTGTCTCAGCGACATGGTTGGCGGGCTTTTCCAGCGTTTCGTCTATCAAAGAAGATGATGTTGGAGTTGGATATATTCGCTTCGGCCGGGGCGTACGACCAGCGTTCGTAACGTTGATAGGAGATAGAGCTGTCCGAATAGAGGAAACCTTGGAATTTTCCAACGACATTAGATCTTTCCTTCTGTCTAATGGTGTGATCCCAGTTTCGTTTGTTGAAGGCTGCCGTGGCCCAGCGTCAGTCATTTCAACGTGATCACCCATCAAAGCACCACCGCCGTCATCATCACCATCATCTGTATCTCCATCAGCCGCCAAATCCAAAAAAAACATCTCCAAAACCCTGAGTCGGTTCGTCCAAATCCTGCGGAAGGGCATTATCCTCCACGCTGGATATAACATCCTCTACCGCCTCTGTGTTCTCTTGAACCCCGGTCACTTGTCCATTCTCAATTGTCGCCGAGGTTGCTTCTGTAGGCATATCGCCCTTTTTAGGCCCCGGTGTAGGAGGTCTTTCTGCAATGTCAGTCCTGCTCTTTCGTCGCCGGCGCCTCTTTGGTGTTGGTTCCGTCGAAGAAGTCCCCTTCAATGGTACCTTCACTGTCTTACCGTCAACCCATGGCCCGAGTCGCTTTTGCTTCATGGCATGCCCCCCGTCTTCTTCGTCTTCTTGTTCAGCCTCAACAGTGACTCGTATGCGCCATGGACTAATGTTACCGTCTGACTGCAGGATAGCCTTGGTTGGGGACAGCGATCTCCGGTCGAAACGCGTCGCTCTCGAATTTCCCGATGGCGTGGAAGGCAGTATAATATCTTCTAATCGTATCGTTTGGCCGTTTTTCTTCGCACTTTTCTTTGGAGACTGGTAGCTCTTTTGATGTAGCGGTGGTCGTCCACGTCGTGGGGTTCCGCGCTTTTGCGGTGACATGATTCGTTGAGGGAACGGCTTTTTGGCGGACGAGAGGAGATATTCCGGATCGCCTGGGTATCCCAAGGGATCTGGAGAGGAGGTGCTGCTTCGAGAGGCCATCATCGACGCTCCTGTATGTGTCTGTCTATCCCGGCGCCGTCATGCGCCCCGTCGCAAGGTGGTGTATCGCAGCGCTTCGGTAAACAAAGATTCATGCTTTGACCTCGAAAGAACCCGAAAAAGAACCGAGCTATGAGTAGCTTTTTCCGTATCTTATGTATTTCGCTGAAGGGCCAGAAAAGCAGTCCCAATATACCAGGCTGCTGGCATACTAACTCGTCTGTCTTCCCTCTTCTTCGTCCTCGAGCTTCCAAATCTCCAAATTGTCCAATCTGCCGTGTTGCTTGACATTATTAGTCATCATTCCACTAGCCGAAAAGGGAAGTCTGTTTATCCGTTTCGGAGAAACTATTATGCCGAGTCGCGGGCTCGGGCGCTTAGGTTCTAGCCCAATACGGCAGGTAGTGACGTCGATCCTTTGCTTGCTTGTATTATGTCATCATCTTTCTTTTCTGTTTATATCAACGACGAGATTATTGATTGAAAACAACGACAAGAAGGAGACAAAGGACTGCTAAATCTGTACTGTTGAAAGATTCATTGGCCAGAGTTTGTGTATTCGTGCTAATGTAGCTACTAGGAGAGGCTTGGAGCAGGAAACGACTCGATACTACGAGGCCCATGCTGTACCCATGTATGTCACACTGACGAAGAAGGTATCTTTGCATAGCGTTGCGTCATAGCCATACATTTCGGAGATGGCTTCGCCAGGTAATGGGACAGTTTCCGCAGTGCTATTATGTGCAAAGGAAAAGTAAGGCCCTACGGAGAATGTTTGGAGAGATGGAGCTATGGAAGCTCAAGCCACAACGGCTCGTATCTTTCGCCCCTTCGAAGAAACGAACATCGATCCCCGTCCATGCTACATAATGCGGGGGAGACCACATTCCATCAAATAAGAACTCACAGTTTGCCTTTCCAATGTTCCATCCGCGCAGCTGGTGGCAGTGGTTGGCTTTTTATGCTTGCAACGGTACATGCAACGTCTTCTCCCTCCCATCGTCATTGCTTTTGCCATCAATATTACTTAAAACAGTTGGAAGGAAAGGGTATATAAACCTCTTCAGTGAGCCTCCATAGCATCCGGATCGTCCCCTGTTTTGTGGAACTCCACACTCCACACTCTACCTCCGTTTCCCCTTCATGTGCACACTTCATTAGTTATCACCTTGTATTATCACATACATCCTTTACCATGTGCGGTGTCCTTCGCCAACTCATGCTTCTGCTGCTAGCCTTCCTCAGCATAACACCCAGTTGCTCAGCATGGAACTTCCATCACCAGTTAAATGGCACTACACCTTCTAATGGGACGACTACGAATGGCTCATCTAGCTGCCCCCTAGCCAATGGAGCGTCGTCGAATCCACTACAAGTATACACCATTGCTGCAAATAACATTACTGCATCGTTCATTCCATACGGTGCCCGTCTAATCTCCCTCATGGTCCCCGATCGTGAGGGTAAGATGCAGGATGTTATAGTTGGCTACGATAACCCCCAGGACTATGTTAAAGACACACTCACTAACCATACGTACTTTGGGTGCATTGTCGGACGATATGCCAACAGGATTAGAAATGGTACATTTGTCCTAGATGGAACTACATACAATACACCAAAAAACGAGCTGAATAAAACTCAGACATTACACGGTGGGAGTGTTGGTTATGACCAGCGTAACTGGACTGTTACGGCTCTGTCGAATAGCTCCATAACCTTCACCTTGTTCGATTCCGGCTATGAACACTTCCCGGGTGATGTCATAAATCATGTTACTTTCAGTGTTAATTCGTCATATGGCTTGAAAAGGCCCAATCCACAGACAGAGTTCACCGCCCGAACCGTTTCTCTCTCTTTGACAGAAAAGACGCCCATCATGTTGTCACCTCATATATACTGGAATCTCAACGCTTTTAAGAATGAGACCGTGCTAGAGGACACGCTACTTGAACTACCACTATCTAGTCGATACGTGGAGGTGGACTCGCGGCTTATCCCAACCGGAAACATAGGAAATGTCTCTTCCTCCCTCAATGGTACCCTAGACTTCACAAAGGGGAAGTTGATCGGGAAAGATATCAAGTCCGCAGATGGAATCTGTGGAGCAAATTGTACTGGGTACGATAACTGCTTCATTATTGATAGGCCCAATAATGCGTCTGACTGGACTTCTTCCCCCCAAACAATGGTCCCTGCTGTGAATATGTCCTCGATCACTACGGGTATAAATATGCTGGTCACAACAAATCAGCAGGCGATTCAAATATACTCCTGCAATGGTCAGAATGGCACGATCCCTGTGAAAGGCTCACAAGTGGCAAGGAATAAGGCTAGCGGGGATGGGAACGGTACGGTTGTGGATAAGATAGAACAGTATGGCTGCCTTGTCATTGAAACCGAGGGGTGGATTGATGGCATCAATAACCCAGACTGGGGTCAGGATCCGTTCCAAATATATTCTCCCGAGTCAGGTCCTGCGATAAACTGGGCAACGTATGTGTTTACTGCTTCCTGAGCTTTTGCCTGGAAAGCATTGGCTTCACCGCAGGGAAATAGATATAAGGGCATGGGGGGTTGTGTATGTAAATGCAACCACTCTTTTTTTTTGTTTGTTTTTAAATACTTCTATTACAAAGTACAGCACACAGTAATACCAGTTTATATGACCATTTAAGAGTTCAGATTTAGGCAAGGCTTGCTTCAATACTGGTGTAGACTGATAGAAGCTATTAAGGCCACCAGAGCAGTGACAAAGGAAGACAAAGTAGCCCCCCATTATCACGAGAACAATATATGCAAATTATTCCTTGTCTTCTGCATCAAGTACCATTTTTAGACACAAAGGGAATACAATGTGGTGACGCCCGGTGAGTATTAGTTTAATAAGAGAACATATCATTCCATTCACGTGAGGAAGGGAGGTTTCGGCAGCTATAGAGGAGTCAGTTAGATATGCACGAGTTGTGATTAGAGCCATTGCATTATAGTAGTCTACGCGCCTAGAGAGAGGAAAAGAGAGAGTTAGGGAAAGAATATAATAACTTACATCTCAAGAACATCATTCCCACCCATCTCTAGCTTTAAAGCAGAGATACGGTCAATCTCCTGCAGGTGAAAGGCAACAAACTTTGCCAGGAGGTTTCTTGCGTTTCTAACCCCCTGAAGACGCCAGTTCATGTACATAGCAGCACATTGAACCTCTGGACGCGTAGACATGTTGGCTAGCGTATAGCTCAGCTGGTCAAGGGTGGTGTTGTGCTCTTTGATTTCATTCTTTATACGATCCAGCTGGCTGAGGTGATAGTTCAAGAGGCCATCAAGAGCAACGAAATCCTTTGGAAGCTCGTCTCGGGGAGAAGGCGGGGCGTTAGATGGAGTTGGCGAGTGGGATCCTTCGCGACCACGAGGCGGAGGAGTTGTAATGCAGGGCTTCGAGCTATCGTCGGAGGTGAAATGCACTGAGATGGGCGCTTCTTCATCGGTGGTTGGGATCCTAAGAAGCGAGCTTGTCGAGATCTTTCGGCGCAGCTCTTCCGGCTGACGGGGCTGTGGCGTCTCCATGGCTTCGGCGACTTAAGCGTGCTTCTTTCTGGCTGCTTGCGGCTTGGGATGAGATAGGATGAAGAAGACTGTGGATGTTGGTGGTGGTTGAGAGAGGTGGGTGAAAAGAAGAAGAAGAGACCACTCGCGTTTTGCAATAAAGAGCTACCAGAGTTGTCGAAGAAGGAAGTTTCCAGCAACTCCAGCTTGAGGAACACAGAATTGATATCAAAGTGAGCAGCAGGACACCTGGGCAAAGTGACAGAAATACCAAGTGACTGTGACAGTGTCCTGTCACTCTGCTTCTGACAAGGCCCCAATAGAGTGGGTGACTGGATATGGAGAGACAAGGATGATTATATTGTCACCAAAGGAAGTAGTAGGAATCTAGCTGCTGCTCTATGTTGTCTCCCCAGGCAGTGCCTAGAGTAGAGGCCTAGTAGCTTGGTGATGCAGGACTGGCCTTTGTCTTTGCATATATTTATCAGCCCCAGAGAGGTATCAAAATAAAGGTATCAAGGTATCAGCTTTTCCACTCGCAGAGGATATACACGCCTGTACCCGTCCAACCCATAATATGCTAACGCAAGAATAACTTGAAGGGCAAGTAAAATGTATTCTAAGGGTATCTTATAACACGCAAAACAAGGCGAAAGACATGACAGCCCATGTGTAAGTAAACAAATACTATCATCTCCATTCACCGAGAGTCCAGCTGGATCTGTCTCCGCCTGCTCGAACAGCTCCTTGTCCATGGCCAGATCTCCGATCAGGGGGATTCAGTTCATAATCACGGCTGGCACCCGCAAGACCATGCTGGAGATATTTTTCACGTTCAATTTCCACCATACCCCTGATTTTGAGGCTAGCAAGAAGGCTAGCCCCGGCCCATGGACCCATCGATTCGACCTGGCGAAGCACTCCGTGAACATATCTATCGTCCTTTCGCTTTAAGTCCATTTTCTCATCGATAAAATTTGATTCTAGCTCGGGTGGCTCCCGGAAGGCAGAGTTCGACTCGTCCGTATTTGATGGCGTGGAATTCCCATTACCGCTCTGTTCATATAAACGGCTCTTCCTCTTGTTTATGGATTTTCCCCTAGATACAGACCACTGGTTCTTTTCAACCAGGGCATTGACATCATCTAATATGCGTTGTCGTACCCCTGGAATGTTCGCACCACCGCCTGTAAATACTATCCGTGACATACAGGTCCCTCGAAGGTCAGGTGGTAGCGAGAGAAGGAAATAATATATCAGAATATCCAAGGGCATGTCTTCGTCATCCCAGTCTCGGGTTTCATATGGCCCACCGAATAAAGTAGTTTCAGTGGGTTGTGAAAACCGCGAAAAGGGTACTTCTGTATATTTTGAGTCTGATCCAATTGGTAAGGGGACGGAAACTTTCGAATCCAACGAGCGAGAGTAGGTGTCTCTATTACCGCCTTCTGAAACTGTCGAGGGAGCGGAGTGCGCACTCATAAATTCCGAATCTTCAGAATTCTGAGAGCTCTTTTCGCACCAGGCCATGCGCACCAAAATCTCCTCGCAAAGTTCAAATGGAATACATATTGAGCTTTCCTTCCCGCCAAGGCTAGATCCTTCTATCTCATAGATAACGCTACTAAGCATCTTCCCCATTTCATGCATCATCATCTTCATGGCGCGGGTGCTTCGTTTTGACCGGATTTCTCGATATTCGTAAACGGCAGTGACAACAGTTTCCTCCCATCCAATATCTACAACAAGAGACGATCGTAAACCGGCGGATACAGTCGCCATCGCCGCAGTTGGTAATAAAGTGATACTGGGGTACTTCCAGCGGTGGAATATAGTTGAGAGAAGCGATGCCAGCAGTGGGTGAGGGACAATAGAGGGTATAACAAGCACTAATCTTGAGGAACCAGCATCCGTGAGTAAGTATTTGTTATAGACCTCTCGAATAGCACGCTCGATCCTATCCTCAAAGAGTTGGATATCAAACCCCCGAAGATCTGAGGTCCAAAGCTCATAATTCTTCGTCCATGTTTCAACGTCATAGGTAAGTCGTTTTCTCACAGTGCTGCTGTTGTTCCTAATCCAGCCTCGATAATCACCAACCCTTCTCCCTTCTTCAGTTCCGAACCCAGTTACGCAGGTAGGTATACTGTTCCCTTCAAACCCCGCACGAATCCACCTTGACCCAATTTCTAGTATCACTGCATCTTCCTCCTGACGAAACGAGGAGCCGGGGGAGGAAGTCCCTGTATACGGAGATAGTATTGGGCGCTGTTGCTGTGGCGTATGGGGAGACCCAGGGATGGAGACAATGGAGCCGCGCGCCTGACGAAGGTTTCCTCGTATACTGGCACTCGATAGAGACTGTCTCCTTTCCGAATCGATCGCAGACGACGGGGCTGCGGCCATCCTCGAGCTTCTTCACCGTGTGGTGTTATTTCCCTGGCTAATTGGTCAAAGAACAACAAATTACCAAGAATAAGGTGTTTTCTCGCGTTTAATCATCATACAGACAACTGTTTGGCTAGCAAAATAGACGATGACCTCTTCAGCCAGAGTATTCCACGCTGCTGCGCTGGAGAACTGGGCTGTTACAAACTTGATAGAAGAAGTTGAGGCTCCTCGAGATGAAAGTCTATTTTTGGTCCGCCGCCAAGACATTCTGTGTTTACCTCGTCCGTCCTCTCAACTTCCACAGCCCAAAGGAAACAACGCTTTGGTACATTGAGTAGCAGGGCCCCTTTCTCCCTTTTTCTTTTTTTGTTTTTTTTTTTTTTTGGATCCTCTGGTGTCATGAAATCCTCATAGTTGCGTTTAGGGGACCATCCATCGAGATCCGCCTCCCTTCGATCGTAACCGGAACGTCCACGTCTGCGTGTTAACTCATGAATGGGGATTCCTGGGTAAAAAACAATACCTATTATCTTGCAAAGGACGAAAGATTGCTGATGCATATTTAATAGTCTGAAAGATGAGCTCGGTCCTGGGGAGCGTATCTCCTTGGCGAGATACTCAGTCGGCCATCTGCAACGCACGAGAAAGCCATTACGCTTAGCTGTTGATATTTCCATATGGCTTTTTCAAGTCCAGGCAGCACAAGGAGGGACAAACCCCGCCCTTAGGACCCTATTCTTCCGATTAACGAGGCTGATTTCTCTGCCAATCCAACCAATCTTTGTTTTCGATGGGCCACATAGACCGGATTACAAAAGAGGCCGGCTGGTCAGCAAGAATGCAGCCGCCGCACAAATAGAGCTTTCAAGGAAGCTAATTGAACTATTTTCGTATCCGTGCCATATGGCCCCGGGGGAAGCCGAGGCAGAATGCGCAAAACTGCAGCAGGCAGGTGTTGTTGATGCCGTTATGAGTAACGATGTTGATGCCCTCATGTTCGGCTCCAAGGTTACCCTTCTCAATTATTCCAAGGGCTCGGCCAAGCAGTCAGGAGCTGCAACCCATGTTGATTTGTACAATACTGAAGCAGAAGATGGAGATAGCAAGGTCACACTGGATACCAGGGGCATGGTCTTAGTTGCATTACTGAGTGGTGGAGATTATTCGCCTGCTGGTGTAGCTCTCTGCGGTCCAAAACTAGCAGTTGAGATCGCTAGAGCTGGTTTTGGCGAAGATCTTCTTGAAATAACTCAGGACTTACTATCCGGGCGATCAACCAAGAAAGCCGAGGAGGCATTGTGTGAATGGCGGGAACGCCTTCAATATGAACTCCAGAGTAATGAGAGCGGGTATTTTAAAACTAAACACAAAGCCGTTAAGATACCTGCCGACTTTCCGAATTTGGCAGCTTTACGAAGTTGTGTTGATCCGGTCACCTCGTCCCTCAAGGAGATGGATGCACTTCGCCGATCAGACATATGGGGCAGAAGAGTCGATGTTGACCGGCTTCGCGCATTTGTTGGCAAATACTTGGGGTGGAAGAATGCAATAGGGGCCAAGAACTTGATAAGAAAACTTGCGCCCTCTTTGCTAAGCTATAATTTATTTTATAGCTCTCTTGGAACACCGAAGGACAAGCTGCCACTTAAAATATTGGGTTACAAGTCGGCCGATTCCTTTGACGCATTACCAGTGTTGAAACTAGAATATGTGCCCCTCCAAATTGTCAATGTTGATCTGGACCAGGAAACTACCACTGCTAGCCCACAAGAAGAGGAGGTTATGAACATTGACTCTTCCGATAATGATGATACACCAAAGGAAAGTCACGCTATGGTCAGGAAAAGTACTCTGGCTGAGTATGACCCGTCTGCTTCCCAGAAAGCATGGTTGTTTGAAACCATAGTACGCCGGGGTATCCCAGATACCGTGGATGATTGGTTTGCGGAGTGCAAGAAGAAAGAGGCTGCTAAAAAACGGCCAGTGAAGAAATCTGAGGCACGGAAGAAAAAACCCAAAGTGGTTGACCCGGGAATGAAAGCTGGTTCTATTCTCCGGTATGGAACTATAACCAAAGGACCTGTTATACAAAGGAATGCCACGTCTTCATTGGCCAAGGAGTCACCTCCTTCTAGCAACCACAGCCTTCCATATAGCGATATAGCAGGGACACAAAAGCCTCCAATTTCTTCTGGGAAAAGTACAGACCTCCCTGCTTCCTCTGAATTTATCGATCTAACATTCAGTGACCCGTTGGATGACCCGGTGGGTTCAGATCATACGCAAGACAGAAAAGGTAGGAAACAATATCCATACTTCCTACCGACACATGCGAATCCTGCTAGGTCCTAATTTACAAGATTGCATTACCAGATACGTTCAAGAGATAGACTTGGCTCTTAGCCATGTACATATTTCAGAAAAGATGCTCCCAGGAAGCACTCGACCAGACATAGTCTGTGCCCCCTCTCAAAAGCGAAAAATTCCGAAATGCAAGGAACGAATTCCGGCCCCTTCTGTGCAGCCTAATGAGCCAAAACTACCCAAGGAGAAGAAAGCCATTACGAAAAGCCCCTCACCACTTCCTTCGTACTCTACTACTCAGGAGTTCCCGTCCTTGAATCAATTAT